AACTCGCCCTTTCCCCTTGTTCCACTTTTGTTACGCTCCGTCAAGCTCGCTGACTGACGGCCTCGATCGCGCTGGTATTGCTGGTGATTGGTAATTGATTGTATTGCTGGTGAGTGGTGATTGGTACTTGATTGCATTGCTGGTGAATGGTGATTAGTAATTGATTGTATTGGTGCTGAGTGGTGACTGGTAATTGATTGTATTGCTGGTGAGTGGTAACTGGCAATTGATTGTATTGCTGGCGAGCGATGATTCGTATTTGGTTGTATTGTTGGTGTGTGATGATTGGTAATTCATTGTGTTGCTGGTGAGTGGTGATTGGTGCTTGACTGCATTGCTGGTGAGTGGTGATCGGTAATTGATTGTATTGGTGCTGAGTGGTGACTGGTAATTGATTGTACTACTGGTGAGTGGTAACTGGTAATGCCAGTGAGAGCGGGTTTGCACTGTCCTGCACAGGCGGTGCACATCACGGCGACTATGAAACCACGAGCTGACAATCTATTCCCGGCCCAGGACACGAAGACGGGTGCTACCTTCAAGACTTCCAGAGCTACTTGCCAGTTGGGGCCACGAAGTACTTAAAAGAGTGCGCGGCATATCATTGCGGCATGGATAATGGCGAACTTTCTTTAACATACCAGACGTAAGTATGTTGTGGTTCCCTGCAATGTTGCATAGACCCGCCATAAATCTGTAACGAACGGTCATTTTGAGCCAAATTTTACCAGAGTCTGCCTGTCTCTGAGGTCGTCTGCTACCTCTGCAGCAACAGTGCGTTGCCACGCACCGGCATGATGGGAACAACCGAGCACAGCATGAACACGGTTCAAAACAGAGAACAAGGCGAAACGGAGGACAGAGCAGGACAGAGACCCGGTGGGAGTGCGGAGCAGGACAAAGGAGAGCGCAAGGGGAAGGATAGTGCATGCCAGCGGGCAGGGTAGGGCAGGAGTGGATTGTTTCATTCAGAGGAGAGGTCAGAGTTTAGAGGTCGCAAACAGAGAGTGGAGAAAAGGAGGGGGAGGAAGGAGATCAGAACATGCACGATAGGTAAAGTAAATAGACAGATCAGAGGACAGGAAAGTCCAGTGCTATTCCAACTGTGCTCTGTCCTTCGCTGGTCCGTCCGCCACGCCGCGCCTACAGAGATCACCCCGCGCCGTGCCGTGCCGTGCAGTGTCGTTGGGCCTGCGCCTCACGTACATAACGCATAAACATGCAAGTGATGAGAGCGCATGGGCACCCTTGTGATTTGGGAGCCTGGGCACCAACAGTTTCAACATTTAAGCATCGGAGCTACACGGTGCTTGCAAAGAGCAGTCCAAAAGTTTTGAATGTTTGTGTTGACCCTAACGACAATTTTGGGGGGCTTCACACCACAAGGGCACGATGGAAGTGGAATGCACACCATATATTGTGTAGAAGGAATGGATCGAAGGAGTTCATGCAGCATATCTTTGCGATGAGTGGGTGACACGTGGCGTCTTTTGTATTTCAGATGCGGCCGGGGGGCCCCCAAACCCTACAGCTCATGCACCGATATCCCGGCCAGCCGTTTCGCCGTGTATCCGGGATGTTGCCTAAATAGATATAATTGCGAGGTGCTGGGGTAAGTCCTGCCAATGAGACTGTGCTATGTCATAGACTAACCACCATAGCTTCGCAACGGCAGGTGGCTCCCATGGGCATGTCGAAGCGACTGTGCTCTTCGGGGCGCGGGAATGCACGCCACATTTTCGGAAGGCTCATCGTGTGATGACCAGTGTTTGCGAGCATGGAGGTAGGATAGTACGACTATACATATCTGGCGCTAACAAAAATACATTGAAAACGCTCTGACTAGTATTTTTGAGCCGTGAGAGGAGATGCAGCAACACAACGTTCATCTCATAACGGTCATT